TATATATACAGTACATTAACTCATCCTTGAAGATTTTTTTCATTGAGCAGGAGTCTTGTCCATTCTATGCACTGGTTTTATGAATGTAAAAATAATAATAATTTCATTGAGTTCACTGATGAAAGTTCCTTTCCAAAGCCTTTAAAGAAACGCATTAACATGTTCATGTATCATTACTGCCTCCTGCTAGCAATGTTCTTCAGTATCAATAGCATATAGTGCAAGACAAAAGAGTGCAGTAGAAAGAAAAAATCACCAGGAATTCAAAACAAATTTCAAAGCACAACACACAAACTCCTAGGTTAGTCTACTGCATTCAGTCTGACTTGTCTATGAAAAAGTAAATACAATTTTTCCAAACTCTTTTGTGACTATGTGAAGTGTTTTGTGAAGTTATATGTATACACACACACACACACCTACATATATCACCTCCACCCCAATAAAATATCCCACAAAATATTACTTGTACTAATACTTGGATTACATCCCAAACTGGTCTGTACGTTGCTATCAGTGGGTTGCACAAGTAAAAGTATGCATACTGATGGGTAACTATAAGACTGTGACTGAGGATTACATTAAGCGGTTATTTGGCATGTATATTAGAGGGATTTCAATGTTTTTTTAAATAAACAACTAAATACATATAATACTCATCTCTACTACTCTTCTTGCTTATTGCAGGTTGTCAACCGTTGCTATATATCATGCAATATGATGTTGCACTGGCAGCAAATAGTAAATTAAATATATATATTGCTAAATAATCATCTCATTATGTGACATTTTTCTTTTCTTTTAAATTTTGAGCTATGTGGCAACTCTTCATTTGTACTGATAAATCTTAATGCAGTGGTGCATGCTGTCTGACACAACTAGGAGATCATTAGGTAAAAGTGCCAGTCCACGAGGGCTGCTAAGTCCATCAGACACAATAACTCGTCCTGCCCCTTCAGAAGGATATAGAAGCACCCGATGTTTTTCTCCCCAGTCTGCCATCAAAACAGACCCATCCTTATCAATGCAGAGGCCCCAAGGACAGGAGAGTATGGGCCCTAAGCTAGAACAAACACCCAGGATTCGTAGGGTGTCCCATCCAGGTCCTAAAATCTTCACACAAGGCTCCTGCCCCATTTCACTGCCTCGCTCAGACACTGCGATCAAACCAGAGTGCAGGCATGCTGCGACCAGGTAAGGCCTGTGGAAACCGGTCACCACAGTGCGTTCCAATCTGGAGCCGGTTTTAGGTTCAAGTTTTAGTGCTGTAAGAGTACCCTTTCGTAGATCTGCAACTAGGAATTCATCTCTTTGGGTGACTGTCACTCCCCTCGGCGCTTCCAACTCATCTCGAGGTACTCCTGCAATGTAGGGTCCCCCTCCAAATGTTTGTAGGAGACGCCCATGCCGACTAAGGATCAGGAGAGCCCTTTCAGCTGCACAGCTCAGAGCAATCAGACCCTTGGCATTAACAGCCACATCAAAGTAATTGCGGCAACGTCGTGAGGAGCCTCCCAAGTCATTACTTGGAGAAGTCACTTGTTGTAGGATATTGCCATGGGCATCAGTTACCTGGACACGAGCATTCCCACAATCCACAAGGAACAGCTGACCTTGCGGTGTTGCGTGGACACCACTGGGCAGAGTGAAATCAGCACGTCCTGAGCCTTGTTTACCAAACTGCCGGACAAGACGCACCTGCTCTGGTGCTAATGATTCAGCATCCTCCTCTAACTCTAGAAGTGCTGGCTCACTCCTCTCTCCACGCAATCTGTTCTCATTTAAAGAATTCTGACGTCCTGATGTAAAGTGGTTCAGTCTTTTCTGAGATGAGTTATCGATAACAGACATAGAGAGTGAACGAGACACTCTACTGGAACAAGAAGCATGTTGTTGGGTGTTCTTTTGAGAGAAGTTACCATGACTGGGACGGGATTTAGTCCGTGATACCTCATTTCGTTTTTGGAAGGTGGGGCTTGAGAGTGAGGACATATGACTCTTAGTTACACTCCATATGCTTGATTGGTGTGTTCTGGTTTCACTGAGGGGTCTGTTGCAGTAGGAAAGGTCAGCAGCCGATCTGGAGAGGCGAGCAGTAGGACGCAGGGAATTGGTAAAATCTCTGGGGGAGCTGACAATGAAAGTGTACCCAGAATCTACACTGTCTGCAGGGGATGGTGCACGGTTTTGTGGGTGGTCATCTGAGGATGCACTTAATTGAGAACAAGACCTGCCACGAAGGAAGTGGTTGTTGCTGCCTTGACTAGAGATGATCTCTCTGGGGCTCTGTCGTGATGGAGATCCAGTCCTTCTTGCATGATATTTATGGTCAAACTGATGCAAGAACCAGTCACCTTGTTCTTGATGACTTTGTTCTGGAGATGGAGAGAGTTCTCGTTGCCTTCTTGCTCTCTGTGAAGCAAACTGTGTGATTGGTCCATTTTGTATTCGGGCAAAATCCTCACCCTCTGGCTCACCATGACTAAGTGATGGTACAGCCAAAAAGAGCTCATCTCCTTTGCATTCAGATGAAGGAGATTCACACTCATCCTCCTGTGATGAATCACGTTCACATGGGACTTGTTTATGGGATCTGTGACGCAGTTGTGGTGACTGACGTTTCACCTCTTCCCCTGATTCTTCATCACTTCGGGCTGACAAACGGAGCTTCCGGACAACCCTCAAGTTCCCACTACTAATGGATGAGTGCCTTGGATTAGGCCCTGGAGATAGGACTTGGTTTTGTCCAGAACTTGTTCCATCAGGTGTGCTCTGGCCCTCTCCACTGACATTAGCCACACCGTGTGCTTCATTGGCATGGAGGGAACACATTTGCCCCTGCTGCCCACAGCCTCCAACAGGAAAATGGACATTGTGGTCTTGTATTTTGATTTCACCAAAAGTTACAGCATTTGGTTGGGCACTTGGTTTAAAAGATACACGATTGAGTGTAAGCGAGACTTCCCAAGGTTGGACTAGTTCTGCAACACCCTTAAGAAGCTGGTCCCGCTTCAGATCCCACTCTCGATCTTTATTACCATCACCACCACATTTCTTTATTAGCTCTCGAAGTTTAATGACTTTATATAATCGCTGGTCAATCAATCTTTGTCCAACCCTTATGGCTGCTCCATTGTCCCTCTGCACCTGTTCCAGTCTGAGCTGTAGGTCCCGGTGATCCTGTTCTACCCTTTCCAGTAGACGACGTTCCTCCCTTTGTGCTCCAAGCAGTGCACGCTCCACACCTCGACCTACTGTCTGCGCTTCAGTCACATGTTGCTCCCTCAGTCGTCTGAGGTCTGTTTCACATCTTGCTAAATCACATAGTGCCTGGGTAGCCCAACATGGTAAGGAA